CTCTCTCTCTCTCACACACACACAGACACACACTCTCACACACTCAGACATTCACACTCACACACACACTCTCTCTCTCTCTCTCACACACACACAGACACACACTCTCACACACTCAGACATTCACACTCACACACACACTCTCTCTCTCTCTCTCACACACACACAGACACACACTCTCACACACTCAGACATTCACACTCACACACACACTCTCTCTCTCTCTCTCACACACACACACACACACACACACGCCATAGAAATCTATTGCTTGACATAAATTGAAGCCGTTCAGGTTGTAGTTCTAAAACGAATACATACAAACATACAAACAGTATATAAGACATTTGTAAGTCACAGATTCCCTCTGGAATTCCTTATGGGCTGTTAGTGTTGCAGTTTTTGATTTATGAGTTAAATAGGTCTGTGGTTAACATTACTTAAAGAGGCTTTGATGTTTTGTTTTACAACACAAACTACACTTTTCACAACTGTACTAGACACTTATTGGTAGCTGAATGCATATTTCACAAGCCAAAATATTTCATAAATAAATGAGAACCTTGAGAATGAAGGGTGTTCCATGTGCAAAAGAAAAAAAGAAAAAAAGAAAAAGAAAACATAAAATGTATGTATTATGATACTGTCAGGTGTGCCCAAAGAAAGTTTCAGTCAGATCTATCAACATTCTGAAGACATTTTTGTCCCTAAACTATAATTAACTAAACCCATATAGACACTTACATGTCTCATGTTAGGTATTATAAACTGATATGTGAAAAAAAGCAGCCTGAATGTACTGTATAATACACTGTACATAAATAAAATAATTGCAGTGGCTTTGAGTTGGAAATGTGGACGAGCTCCTCTGACTGTCTGAGGTTTGCTAATATGATTCTGCCTTATTTGACCAGATGCATAATTGTAGATATGGCTACTGGCCAAACACTCTGTACCAGTGCATCCCTGCACTATAATGTGATTGCTCAATATTTGCTTATGTAGGTCTGAATGTGCCTCCCAGACATGCGGCCTGATTTGTACAGGATCAATGCATCATGGTTCACTGAGGGATTACGCTGGTGCATAAAACTGCTCCGAACTACAACCGGATCCTTTGAGAATGAATGCTCAGAAAAAGACTGGAAAATAAAATTGGGATTAATGAAAAGACAGATTTTTTAACACTAACATAAGGCCCTGTGAAATTTGTTTTATTTTGTCTTAAATTCTTTTTTATTTTCTCCCAAATGATGTATTCCGTTGCAAAAAGCATGTCTAATCAACTGAATTCATAGAATTTTACCAATTTATTAATTTATAAAAATTTGAACAATAGTAGGTCCCCCTCCAGATTAAATCTGTTTTATAATAAATTAGTGTTGTCAAAAGTACCGATGTCAGTACTGAAATCTTAAACATGTGACGATGCCAGCATTTTGAGCGCTGTTGAGCAGATTCTTACAGCTCTGATTGGCCAGTGTGTTCACGCGCTCAACAGATACTGTATGTCTGTGACTGGCTACAATGACCATCGATTCACGCTCTTCACCGAGCGCTTACACTTTGATTTGATTCATTATTGTACAGCTCTATTTTTGATTTATTAAAATGTACCTAATTCCATGACAGTCTGCAGTACTCTGCAACTATATGATAAGTAGTATCTATGCAGTAACAGGAATCCTGTTGTTCACATTACTGTAGTATGCAGTGTTGACATCTGACTCATAGCATGTGCTTTGAGTCTCCTATCTCACACCTCCAAACCCATTTTCTGTTTAACTAATGGGTTATAGAACGAAAGCAAACCCACAGGATTCCCAAAATAGAGCTTACACAACACAAAACACCAAGCCACCCTGTAGTAGAGTGGTTAACCTACAGTATGTGTCACCAAACAGAAACCCCCGCCATTCACACAAGCCAAACTAACATGACCTGAAAAACTCACATCAAAGGTTCCTATAATTATTTACTATAGGCCAATACTACATGAGGTAAGCTTAACTACTCATTAATTCAATCAAAACTATACTCAGAACTATACTGGAAGCTTTTTTTGGTATTAAATGAAACATATGTTATTATTTCTCTTGCTTCATTCACTTCGTTCATTGCATTCTGGGATTGATTTCTTAGTCTGTCTTAAGGTGCAGATACATTTAACGTTCTTCTGCAAAACTGCCAAATTCAGGCATTTCAATAGGAATCTGCACAATTGGGAATTTAGTGTGAGGTTTTACCACACAGATTTCACACTGGGTTCAAATTGTTTAGGCAAATTTATCGTGTTGACCAACAGAAACTGTTTGCATTGAAAATAACTTCTGTGTTAGCTGTGGTTCATACATTATACACTACTGTGAATTGACCTTTTTTCCCATTAAATTTCGCTAACTTGACTGCATCTTCAGAAGCTGGCCAAATGAGGTAGAGTATCTTAGAAGCTGCACGTCTTGCCTTCCTATCAGAACAGCTTTCATGTCGCCGTGCAATG